TACATCTCTCTTCAATCTCTCTACTTCACTCAATCTCCTCTTCTTTGTTATGATCTGCTTCTTCCTCTTCTGTAAACTTTCTTTCAACTCATTCAAATCTTCTAGCCTACAACCCAACTTCCCTACAAATTCTGCTATTGTGTCTTCTCTCACCGAGTCCTCCACCCCTACCCTTCCTGCAGAATCCCCTCCATCTCTGTCCATCTGCCCTTCCTTCCTCTCCTCTGGTCCCACCTCTGTCCTTTCCTCTCCATCCTTCCTCCCTTTCATGTTACCTCCCTCCTTCCCTGCTCTCTCCCCGTAATCCTCTCCATCTCTACCCTCATTCCTTTCCCTCCTCTCCACTAACCCCTCCTCTCTTCCTTCCTCCCCTTCCCTCTTCCAGATCAGCTTCCCTTCCACTTCCTTAAACACTCTTTCAATGATTTCCCACACTTTTCCACTCCTATACCTTTATTCCCGCACCAATAAGTATTGATGCAATACTTATTGCAGCATGCCAATGATACTCCAAGCTGAAATCAGCTAAAAACTAGGCTATAACCACTAGTAAGTAAGAAGTCAAGACATAAAGAAGTATCCATTAAGAAGTCAAGTCATCAATTTTCTTGTTTTTATAGTATTTCTAAATGAGATTTGTATTTAATCATTTATTTATGTAAATATGTAATTAGATATTATTTATTGATGTATTTTGGAAGATGACACTGGAATGTGTGAATACATGTTTGCCATGTAGCAAGGTAACTCTGATTTTATGTCCTTGGAAAACCATGCACACCTATGGACTGAAAGTTATCTCATACATATTCCAGATGCTCAACACATACAAGAAACACTCAGGATGTTAAATAAACTATCAATGGAAGGAATTGTGTATGTATCAGTAGGAATATATCCTTCCTGCCAATATATATGAAATAAAAGCAAAGAAACTTAAAGAAATCTTTTCCATAAATTCTTAGGCCTTAAGTGGAAACATTGTAACTGGGTCATAGCTTGGTTTGATGGTAAAATCCTAGGATAACAAGCATGAGAAAGACGAGCTTGAGTCTAAACATGGCCACTTTGAGCAAAACAAAATGTCAAGGATTTAGGCCACAAACCATTCCACCCCTCCCAAGATCACAGATAGCCAGAACCAGTAATGGATAATGGCATTTAGTAAGAAATGATGACTGATTATACAACAGTAAAGGGGAGAAGTAAGACTGGATGATGGAAGTGGAAATATGCAGTGGAAAAAGGATTGAAGAGATCCACTTTGCTATTCAGCTCCCAAACAAAAAAGACAAGTGAATTTCAGGAAAGAGAAAACTTTAATCCATGTTTTTCATTAGTCATTTCTATTATCCACCAAATAGTGGAAATTTGCATTGCTTCTTTGCTTCTGTCCCACAATTCAAACAAATCCTAGTAATGAGATAAAATAAAATTATAATTCAACTATTTACATTGAAGGTAATGGGGAAATAAATTCACCTGAAAAGCCCATGCATTTGATTGGCTCTTCTTGTTTCCACTGCCTTGATGACCCTTAGATTTCCGGATTCCTCTCTCACAAGCTTCACCTCACGTGGGTAAGTCCTTGAAAGCTCACCCAAAGGACCCTTAACTTTCAGGTCTTGGCCTTCCAGTGTGATTGCTACATTGGGTGGTACTTCAATTGGCTTCTTACCTATTCTTGATTCTTTGCATTCCACAGTCTTCCTCAAAAATCCAACATGAGTGACAGGAACCCTACCAACTTGGGTGGCACTCACCTCACCCAGAAATTTGGATTTCAAATTACTGAGGTATGACAAGAAAAAGTAAGTATTGGATTATCAGATAAATGTGTTATAAACTCACTCCATATTTATGCTCAATGGTTTAACTGATATAACTGTACAACTTTTCCTACATATAAGGCTCAAAAAGACCAAATATTAAATAACTCCAAGTAATGAACTAAACCAAGTTGGGTTGAATGAAAAAAATTAAAAACCAATGCCATACATTCCTGGTCAAACCACCAGTAATAGTTTAAGATAATTTGAATTACATATGTACTGATGTAGAGATAAGAAAATGAATTTCCTATACATTCTTTCATAGTTTTGTTGGTTTATCGTCCAATCTAGCTTATTAGGTATGGAAAACTAGATATGAAGCACATCCAGTGATTTAAGGTGTGCCTAGGCGCATTTTAGGGTAGGCGCCTCACCCAGGTCCTAAGTGCAGTACTTTCAAAAGGCACCTTTTGAAAATTTTATGCTTTTTTGCTTTTTTTGAACCTAGCAGCTGGGACCCCCTATTTGTTAATGTTGTTCATTCATTTATCTTAATAAAATATCTTCTTAAAAGGCAATTGAAATTATAAAATCATTATTTTTGTGTGAAAATTAAGAATTTAAGACATTAACATGGACTTGTTTGGGCTTGCCTCGAGGGGCATGGCACAAAGGCATCTCGTAGAATCAGGAATGTAATATGTTTTACATCACATTAGCTACTTGAAGTAATGCAATTGAGGAAAAAAAGAGATTGTGGGTTTTACATGCTTGAAAATGTTTTATATGTTTGATTTTATTTTTAAATTTTCATTTGGATACACTTTACATGTTATGTTTATGTATTTTAATTTTAGATAATAGGTTTTCTAAAACATTTACTTAAAAATTTAAGTTATATTTTTTATTAATATTATGTTTTATATTTTTTTGAATTTTCTGACATTTTTCTATTTTTAGAAATTTTCTTTTTGTATTTTTGCGCCTTGCTTAAAAAAGGCACCCCCACCTTGCACCTTAGGCACAAATTGGCTCCTGCGCCTTGCACTTTTAAAATACTGAGCAAATCTCACGATTTTTTTTGAGTTCATTCAAATTCATCAAAAGATCAAATATTCAGATCCAAGTTAAAAATTGAATTTAACGAAAACATATTTCAATTTGTCAATAGATAGACTGTATTAACTAAGCATAATATTCAAAAATACCAAGTTCTCATATTATATTATAATTGATACCTAAAATTTTTCATGTCATGATTAACTCATCTCAAATTTTGACTGAATTGGTCACAATTTTGAGTGGTCGACTTGATTTTGATATTAGATAAGTTTAGTGTTTTCACCACTGACTCAATTGAAGGGTAACAGGTAGTTTCTTCCTCTTAACATGGGTGGATTAAATGCAGGCACAGGTGCCTCTTTCAACAGTTAAACCAAGTTAAGGCTTTGATGGTTCTCTATAGGAAAATGGGCTCCTCAAGCATTGAAAATGCATTCAGGGACTGAGGATAGATATCATCCTAGTCTATTTAGGCCTTATATTCAAGTCCACTGAGTTGTTGATGATTCTAAGGCTTCTTCAAGGCTTGGTTATTTGATATGTTTAGGATCCAAGCGCAGTGGAGGAGGGGGACTTCCAGATGATCATTGATTGGATAAGAGATGGATCCATAAGTAAGCCCCTGGATCTTAAGACACCACATCACAGCAAGGATGCAAGATAGTTGGACTACAGAGTGAATAGCTTGATGAATTCCTAGATTTGCTCTAACTTGAGATACTCTTACCAGGATTAAGGTACCTGGGGATCATCATTGTCAGAAGAATTATCCTATGCATTTTTTATAGGTTGACTAATTCATTTTTTCATCTCCTTGTGGGTCATTCACAGCCTTTCCTTTGACCTTGGGAAATTTGGTTATCCATTCTACTTGTATATTTTCACAGCCTTTCATCCATTTGCGTACATGAAGAAGTCATTTTGTTCAAGGCATATGGAAATACATGCACGCGATGTTCATTTTTCAGTTTTAGAGTTCAAGTTCTGATTCTGCAACTTGGGGAGCTAATGTCATGAAATTCATGCACAGAAACAAAGAATTATCGAATGCCTAGTTTTCCTTATGTCAGTCAGCTAACAGAAAGACCTCCGCGTGCTGGCTGCCTGCCTCAAGTGTTTTCCTTGCACAAATAAGGAGATCGTTTTCAAAATACATGATTAATCAGTATAAAATTCATGTTCGTGTGCAACTAAAACCTCAGAACAACGCCTAACTACACTAAAATAACCTTATAGTTCTATTATGTGCGTCATTATATTCTTATTATTCAACCATCTGTAAGCACAAGCAGGCCCCATTCTTATACACTGCTCGGAAGTCGAAAAATTAAAGAAAGGAAATTCCTTAGGTTTCGCAGCTGCAACTCTCCAACTACCATTATCCAAATGAAAGACCAAATGAGATTTTCCACCATTGTTGGTTCTCTGATGTACACGACACTCCATTTTAAGAAAATTATGCCCCTAACAAGGTCCTATGGAGGTTCGGGACTCTACATACTCCTCAAATGAGCAAAATTTCATGAAATAGCAAATAGAAACTCTCTTAAAACATAGAGTTTCAATAAAAATAATCAAATTCTGCAGAAGATAAACAAACCCATTTTGTATTTAATCAAAATTTTAGAATTAAAGAAAAACAAAGGAAAAAGAGGCGAAGAGATACATTAAGAAAGTAATGTCGTGGGTTGTACTTACCAAGGGCGAGTAGAAGGTTGAAGAAGAAACATCGTCAATCTAGACGCTTATAGAGAGCTCTTGAATCTGTATTGAAGTCCCGAAGCTCCTTTTCTGGCTCCCTTTTGGTATTTAGTACGAAAGTCTTCAGAGAGGAGGAACCATTAGACGATGCAGAAGAAGCTGGGATGATGGGAAGGTGAGCCAGACGCGACTAAGGAGTCGGCGTCGTGGATAGGATCATGGAAATGAGTTTGAAGTGGATAGAAAAGAGTCAAAAAGGCATCGGTTTGGTTTAAAATTAAGGAGCCAAATGATTGCCTCAGGATTGGAATCTGAGATAAACCGTCCCAAGACACGTTTTGGGGACAGTAGATGATGGATGGAGTAGATGCTGGGCACCTCAACAATAGCCAAACTTGCCACGTGTTCAATATTAAGAAATCCGAATATGATACCGGATAAGCATCATACCTGAAAAAACTGACTAGTGACAACCAAAGTAAACTTTAGGAGTGGTAACCGATCAGGGGATTGAGGTGGTATTCATCAAAATTTCACAGGGGATTTGTGATTGGTGAAGGTTCTTACAGTATCATGTAACGCCCTACGGAATTGGATCATATCAAATGGGATAGGACATAGGAGTGGATCCTTATTCTAGTTTTGTAGGTTATAAGCTATAACTATTAGAAGAGAAGATCTGTTGTTCTCTTCGGTAAATATGAAATCCATTTTACAGCTACCATCTTAAAGATTTTTAACTGGGTAACTTACCAATTTTGCTCTTCGGTTTTTATATGAATGATACTATAATGGACACATTATGTGGTGTACCTGTAAAATGTGAGGCTGGCATGCTGATTATTCCAATGAGATTTCTCAAAAATAACTGATTTTTTAGATCATTCTCCGTAATCAAAGAAATTGTTTGTTTGGCATCATTGCTGACATGTCAGCCGATTTTTTAAAAAATTATCAGCTGTGATTTTTTATGTTTATAAAAACTCTCCTTTATCCATGTCAGATGCCACATCAACCAAAAATAATTGGAATAGGCCTAGAAAAAGGAAAACTTTGGATGTTGAGGGCCAACCGGCCAACAGCCTCTGCTGTTGAGAACATTTTGGGAATGCCACGTTTCCATTGAGTGAGGTAAAATAATAATTGCTCCCCATTTCTTTTTAACCATAACCATGTCATAGGCATGAATTGGTGAATGTATTCACCCTAAAAACGCTTTTTTGGGGCCAACAGCCAAAGTTAAACTCCTCAAAAAGAGGAATCATTGATTTTAATAATTAATTCTTTTCTGACCGATTTACCGATTTCTCAAAATCGACCAACCAATACCAAAATAATCAACGATTTTTGAATTTCTGATGTGACACCAATTTCTGAAAAATCGGCATCTGTCCCAAACACCAACTTCGTAATAGACATAAAAAGAAGAGCCAAAGATTAGGTCCGTAACTCTGCATCTAGTTCAACCCTCCTAAGTCCCTGGGCAGTGGAAACCAAGCATTGCCTAATGATCCATTACATTAAAAGGGCCATGTTCAACAATGCAAATAATAGAGTTAGACCAAGGAGAGAGACAGTGGAGGGAGATGTAGTGGAGAAGTGAGTAGCCCCAATTCATTGTTTCCTACTACTATGGAATCGCTTTTCTTCTTTCTGCTGTTTTTTGTACAAGGGCAGTATATGAAATAGAGAAATTCAATTCAGCGTTGTTAACAAGCCAGCCCTGTTTCAAGTGATCACTGACCCGTGTGCAGCTCATGGAAGCATATAGCTATAGCCTCTGTCTCTCTGATGAGAGGAAACATTTCTTATAAAATTTCTCCTTATTTTTCTTTGTTTAGATATTCTCACCTTTAGATTGATCTAAACATTGTACATGTTTGTTTGACTTCCAACTTCCAATGCTAGATCGAGAGAGAGAGAGAGAGAGAGGTTAAGACTATAGATGGGTCAATCAGATTAAATTGAAATCTTATGGTTAGCTTGTAAGAACACTGTCGAAGTATGACAGCCAGCAAATTTGAAACTCCCTTTGAATATATATATTTACAGAATAGCTACAGGATAGCATAAAAAAACTGATATGCACAATAAGGGAGCAACAACAAGGGAGATAAAGGAGCAAAAAAAGGGAGACAAGAAAAAGAAAAAAGACCCTGCATTTTCTCTACAAGCTTCAAATCGCTTTGCAACAAGTATGAAGACTAATATTTACTGTTTCTCATCCTCTCCATGATGACCATAGTCAGAAACAGATGGGAATGAGGATGGAGATGCATTGGCCTTTCCCTTGCTATCTGATGAAGTGGAAGTCATGTTCATGGTTTCGTCAGGTTTTTGCTGTCGCAAAAGCTTCTGTTGGTTTTGCAGAATCTGGCAGGAACAGATAAAAAGACAAATAAATAAAAAAGATGAAATTTTGCCTAACAAAAAGAGCAGAATTGAAGTAGTTGCTTGCAAGTAATTCAGTGTCAATATAACTAGGAAAACAAGATTCCATGGTGAAGGGAAACTAAAACATGATATGCTGTAAAATATGATTGAACTGTGATAGTGTCTAAAACCCACCAGGCTCTTTTTCTTTTGGATTAATCTCATCAAATATTCTAATTTATGTGAATTTAGCACAAATTAATCCTCTTAAACCCCTTAGATATGGAGACCCCTTATATACATCAAAATAAGCCCACAAACACCACAAGATGAATATATCCCCAGTGTTCAAAGGGGCAAAAGGAAGAAATGGTCAAGCTAATGGTTTGTAGGTTAAATTGAGGAAGACAACTTACTTTGATTCAGAGTGTATTGTCTTCACTCCCTATTTATTACCTATCATTATTTCAAATCCCTGTAAGTGTTGCAAAGCTTCTAGAGAAGAAAATGAGGATTTTTTATGGGCTGGTTGGATGAATAGATTTAAACTCAACTTGGTGAATTTGAAAACTGTGTGCCAACCAAGAAAAGTTGGTGGTTTAGGCATCAGAAATATTAAAGTTGTTAACAAAGGTGTTAAAGATTCAGCAAAAGAGAAGCAGTCTCTGCAGAAGGATCATTGTGGTTTGTGGATAAGTATGGGCTCACAAACCTTGATTGGGACTCGGGCCCTGGTCTACGCCCAAGGGGATGTGCTTGGTGGAGAAATAATGTTACTATCCTTCCTGATTTCTTTAAGAGCATTTGATGCAAGGTTGGCAAAGGTAACCACATCAAATTCTGGCATAATAAATGGTGTGGGAACCTTGCTTTGAGCAAAATGTTTCTCTTTTAGATATTCCACAAGACAAGGATGCTGTAGTTGAAGACTGCTTTGACTTAGTGAATAGTGAAATAATTTGGGGCCCTACTTTTAGAAGAAACCTCAATGATCAGGAAAACAATCCACTGACTGGGCTATTAAGCCTCATTCAAAGTATAAAGCCCAACCCTCAGTCTTATGATGAAAGAATCTGGTCTTGGGAGTTATCAGGCAAGCTTTCATCTTAATCCTTCTACAGCAACCTTGTTTCTAGAGAGAACACTGATTTCCCTTGGGCTTTAATCTGGAAATCCCACATACCCTAAAAAATAGCCTTCCTGGTTTGGACTGCAGTTCTAGGTAAATGCCTAATATCAGACCGGCTGCTCAGAAGGGGAATGCATCTTCCTAGTATCTTGTGTCCTTTCTGCAATGAGGTCCCTGAATCCTCCAGTCACCTTTTCATCCACTGTAGCTTATCAGCTGTGAGAAATGGCTTGGTGTTGCTTTTGGTGTTCGTTCTTGCCTGCTCGAATCAGTCCTTCAGCTTCTGCAAGGGTGGACAATCAAGGCCTTGAACTTAAGGGGCAAGCTGCTTTGGAGGATTTTTCCAATTGCCATCTTGTGGGTTATTTGTTTGGAAGGAAAGCAATTGTTAAAATTTTGACAACAAATGGTCTGATTTAGCTTCAGCTAAGAACAAAATTATAGGCTTTCTGTGTTCTTGGTTAAGTGTACAAAGGGTTTTCAATGGTGTCCAGCTTTTATCTTTTTTTGCACACTGGACCTTCTTTCCACTGATTTCTCAGGTCTTTTTGTATATTCCCAATGTACAGGCTCTCGTTGTACATGGGCTGATGTATTTGGATTTCACTTTTAATACAATTTAATACTTTACCTTTGTCAAAAAAAAAAAGCTTTAAATGATGAAGTAGGCGTTATATACAATACAAAAATAACAAAGGAATCATTAAAAGATGAATTTTTATGTTTTAGATTTGAAGAGTACAATTTCTTACCTCTCTCCTAGGTAAATCTATGGATTTTTTTTTTTTTGAGATGTCAAAGTGCCTATTAAAAGTTTGTGGAGACAGTCTTATCCACCCTTAACAATAGCTCCAACAATGGAAAAACAAGATGATAATCTGAACACTCAATAACCAAAAAGCCCACCATATTGCCCAGAAAACATTACATAAGTCGGCATAGTAAGGATATTATTGTGATAGTTTCTGTCTTTTTTACATTTTCACTGTATAGGAACTGTTTCATTGTATCTGGGGGGGAGATGCCCCTCTCTTTTGATAATGAAATTTATACTACATCTTCTCAGGAAAAAAAAAGTAAAGATATTAAATCAATTTTTCATCATGCAGAGCCATACAATACATACGTTGACCAAATGGTGTCTCATAAATAAACACCCAATGCTCTACTTAGTGCATGGTATTTGAACATAATTTAAAGAATCAGAAAGAAGAATCAAGAATGCTAGCCACAATTTTAATTAAACCAAAAGGGGGATCAAGAATTCCACTAGATAACTGGAGCACTGTACCTCAATCTGGTGCAGAATAAATCTTTCTTGTGATTCCAGGCAAGAACATTCCGCATTTAGATCAGTACCCAGCCTCTGCCCTGTAAAATTAGCACCAGCAGACTGAAGAGGGATGAATGGGCAGTGAGGAGCCAGAGGATACACAAAGTTTGACTGTCCACCATGGGTTGCAAATTGTTGATTGTGTGGTTCCCCAGATGCATTTCCATCTGAATCCATAGTGCAGGAGTTTGCTGAAGGCATATATGCCTGGGGAATTAAAGCATATCCAGGATACCTATAAGCAGAAAGAAAAATAATGTGACGAGTCCTGCAATACTTTTTACAACAAATAGCACAAGAAGTTGATACCCTCTTTTCTCTAATGAAAAGCTCAAGGATCCATAAAACAATGCTTAAGAATTAGATTCTGTGTTAAGAAACATGTTCAAAAAATGAGTGTGGCAGAAATGTGAATGTTAAAATAGATGAGTGGAAAAACCAGCAAGGATGAGACAAAAAAATGAACTCAATTGAAAGAACCTAAAAGTAGCTCCAATAGGTGGTAAAATGAAGGAATGTAGACTAAGATGGTTGGTCACATGGAGAGGTTATAGACCAATAAGAAGTGATCTATTACATGTTGAAAGGGCTAGAAGAGCTAGGGGCAGACCAAACAAGCATAGATTGAAGTAGTGAGAAATGATTTAAGAGCCCATAGTTTAACAATGGATATGACACTGAACAAAACAGAATGGTGGAACAGGATTCATGTAGCCAACCCATATAGTTGGGGCAAAGTTAAGATGACAACGATGATGCTTTTAGCAAAATTATCAACACCAACCACATGGTATGCAACATGGACCCCAATTTAGGGTCTCCCATAAACAAAAGAATTCAGAACTTAACCATGTCTACTACCATATTTGTTTAGGCCAAGCTCTTTACCATTGATAAACAAATTCAAGTCAATTGCAACTCATTTGGATACATCAATCCAGAAACTTCTTTGGCACAAACATCTTTCTTAGTCACCAATATTAAAAGCCATCTGAAATCAGCATCATATCATCACTCCATATTTTTCAATCCTGTTGACCAATTAAAGATTAATCACTTTAGAGGTAAACTTGTGTAATCCGAAAGGAGGTGAACTAATAGTTATTTCCATCAAAATGAACTTTGACGGCAGCAGTTTAGGAAACCTGGGCAGCTCAGGCATTGGTAAAGCTTTCAGAAAACATGAGGGGACTCTTATGGCCCTCTATTCAGGGCCTATTGGATGTGGAGATTATAGAGATACAACTACGGCAGAATTGTTAGCAGTCCTAAATATTAAGATTGGGTAGGGACTTAAACTTCAGAAATATCTCAGTGGAGGGGGATTACAAGGTAGTGGTGAGCTGGTTAAGAAATAATGCTTTGGGAACATGGATATTTAGATACCTGTTGACAGAAGTCAGATCATTGACAGAAGAATTGCTAGTCACTTATCACTGGGCTCCTAGAAGTGCAAATAGCATGGATGGCTCATTTTCAAGACAAGGAGCAACTAAATCGCATTTCTTTTGGGAGCTGGTTCCAGGGGGAATATAATGTCATACACAATGGAAAGGGACAAATCCTTGCGGTACCCCATACCATGTACACGCAGAACAACAGATTTGTAGTCTCATTTCTAATTTTCAGCATAGGGTTTTCCAAAATCGAACTTCTAGTGGTACCAAAAAAGGCTTCTAGGTGTAAACCATGCACCAAATGATACCAATATCACTTATTTTGTGGAACTGCACACCTATAACAAACATACAGTGCTTGCTTCTACTTGCACTGCATATTCTAAGCAACAAAAAAATCCAACCTATGTAAACCATCCAAAAGGACCAAAAAATAAATATACTTTGCCACTTAAATGAGTTAACAAGCCATCAACAGTGAAAAAGTTACTAACATCTTAATACTCGTGAAAAATTGAAAACAGACATTCCATACCATGAAAAAGTATTTGGAGAAGGATATACATATGATTTCTCATAGATTGAAGCAGCTGCAGCAGCAGCTTGTAGCCTAGCCTGATGCCGCCTCAAGTTGTCATCCACTACATCATCTACTGAACCCTGAGAGGATGTACCAGCAGTTCCTGTGTCTGGTCAGTGTAAAAAAGTAAAGAACAAAAATAAAACCATTAGGATGTACTTCCCAGTTCCCATAGCCAACTGATAACTTTCATATTTTTAATCTTTTTCAACATGCTGTCAATCAATTGCAAGAGTCATAGGGAATGGAAGAGAAAACTAAATTTCAAAAATTTATATGAAGTTCAAAGACTCTTTATAAGAGTCAATCTCCATTCTCTAGGATGCAATTCCTTTAAAACTAGAACATTCCTAGGCAGCAAAATGCACAACTGTCCCAATCAATTCCGGAAGAAAAGCTTGAAACATACCTGTCACAACCTCCACAAGTGCAAAAATCTCCAATTTATACCCAATCCAACCTCAAATAATTCACCTAAAATTTATGGCGAGAGACAAAGCACCTGGGCCTGATGGGTTTACAATGGCCTTCTTTCAAGATTGATCTGATTGGAGCCTTTGGAAAATTTCTTAACAGAGCCACTACCAATGCAGGGGCAAATTTAATCTTTGTGGCTCTAATCCCAGAAAATAATGAAACTGCCCATCCCAAGGATTTTAGACTTCAGCCTTGTCAGTAACTTCTATAAAATAATTTCTCAAGCACAAGGGGCCTTTGTAATGGGTAGATAAATAGTAGAGCAAATTTTGGTGGCCAATGAGTGTGTACAAGGTATGAAAAGGAGAGGAAAGAAAGAATGGGTATGCAAGTTGGACCTAAAAGAAGCCTATGAGTTAGTTGATTGGTCTTTATCAGACTTGGCTTTGTAAAAGTGTAGATTTGGGGACAGAAGAAGTGGATAAAGGTGTGCCTTAGTTCATACCATTACTCAATCCTAGATAACGGTAGTATTAAAGACTTCTTTCCTGCTAAAAGAGGACTTAGGCAAGATGACCCTGAAGATTACACACTTGTAGTTTACTAATGAATTAATGATATTACTATCTTTTGTTAAGACACTAAGGTGGAAAGAGATAGAAACTTACAGTCCTTGATCAAATGTTTTGAAAAATTACCTATCATAAAAGTCAATCTAGGGAAGAGTTGTACAGTGGGAATCAGTCAACATGGAGGTACCGAAGATAGAGAGATAGACCATTGTGTTAGGATGTGCAAGAAGAGAATGCCCTATAAAGCACCTTCGGCTACCTTTGGGTGGTGACCCTGGAGCCACATAGATTCTGGAACCCCGTTGTGGAAAGATTTTCTAAGAAACTAAACAATTGGAAAAAGAGCTATACTTCTTTAGGGAAAAGGATTACCTTGATAAACATACCCTATCCAACCTACCCATTTATTTCCTCTTAGTAATCAAAATACCAACCTTGATTGCAAAAAAGTTAGAAAAATTACGAGAGACTTCTTTTGGGGAGCCAAGAACCTCTAAAAAAGATCATTTAACAAACTAGGGGGTGATGCAGAAGAAAGATGGAGGGGGACTGGGCATGGGGAAGTTGGTAGTCAATGGCTGTGAAGATTCCCGATTAAAACTCATAGGTTGTGGCATGAGATAATCAAGAGTGTTCATGGCATGTGGCTGATGGATGGGATGTAGGATTGGTTGCTAGATCCACTTGTGCTACTCCTTGAAAAGAAATCTCTTCCTTGGTTTCTTCACTTCACTAGGGAGGAGGTCCATTTAGGAATAGAACAAATTTTTGGCTTGATCTCTGGAGAGGCCTTATAGATGATGAGGTTTGTATTGTGTCCTCTCTTATCGAGCCTCTGGAGAGCTTTTTTTGGACGTGTCTAAAAGACTGTAGAGTGTAGACTTCTTGCACTTTGCATTTTTTCTCGTGCTTCCTTGTTCATTGTCTTCTCCCTTGATCCATCTTTGATTCAAGAGTTTCTTATTAAGGCTGTTTTGGGAGGTCCTATTCCTTACATAGTTAGGACCTAACTGCTGTTCCTCTCTCCTAATGTGTCTTCTTTGCAGAGCAAGTTGTGAGACTGCTTCAGACTTGCTAATCTCCTGTTCTTTTGTCACTGCTATTTGTTTTTTTTTTTTTACTATAGGTGGAACCCCATATCTAACTTGAGGAATTTGTTCAAGACATACTATTTCTCCACAACTAGGAAGAAGGATAAAACCACCATGGAGATGTACGAGAGCAGTCATACTGTAGACAGCATGAAAAGAAAGGAACAAGAAGATATTTGACAATAAATGCCTAACTAAAGCAGTTATGAAACAATTATGGCAAGGGTTGTACATTGGGTAAAAGCTTTTACCAAATTTTGCTCATATATCCATTGGTGAAACTAGCAGATCATTGCCAATTCATCTACAGCTAGATCAAAAGTAAGCACATTATGGATGCAACCTGCCTTACTAAATATTAAGATGAACTTTGACAGCTGCAATCTAGGGAACCCAGGGAACTTAGGTATTGGAGGGTGTTCAGATAATCAGATGGGACTGTAATGGAACTCTACTCAGGACCCATTGGTCATGAAGATTCAACCAGGGCAGAACTGATGGCAGTCTTACGGGGGCTAAGATTGAGCAAGAACCTAAACTACAGAAATATAATAGTGGAGGGGAGCTCCAAGTAAGTGGTGAGATGATTAAGGAATAATACTCAGGGAACATGGGCATATAGATACTTGCTGAGGAAGTCAGATCAATGGTTGAAGAAATGACAGTCACATTCCAATAAGTTCCTAGAAGTGCAAACAGCATGGGTGATGCCTTAGCCAGGCAAGGGGTTAATTTGGGTGGGGGTCCAAGGGGAGCCTAATGTAACTTCTTTGGAGTATATAGCATGAGGAAGTCTACAGTACCTTATTTGGATAAATAATGATAATTTTATTAAAGATATGAGGTAGTCTACAGTACTTCCTACCATGTAAACCTGTATAATGGTTATAAACATCAATAAAATTGCTTGACTGTTACTGATAAAAAAAAAATATTTGTTTTAAATAATTCAGAAAAAGTAAGAAACTAAATGTGAGGAGAGAAAAAGAGAAGAGGGAAGAATAAAGGAGAGATGAATCAATTGAGAGAGATCCAGAAGTAACAGGGTACCTCCCTATACAACATATAAAGACCAGAACACCGTTGGCATACATACATAAATGCAAATATGCAATTAAGAAATAAAAGATTAAAGGATTAAAAAAATGAAAGAAAAGAATAAAAGAATTACTCATAACTACAATTAAGAAAAGATAGCAGTACAACACCCTAACATCAACAGAAGTATGATAAAGCAAACAAACCAGCCAACTGACTAAAAACCTTACCCTGCTGATGAACCTCAGTCTGTGCTCCATGTTGGCCACTAGCCATATTTGTCCCATTTTCAGGTGGAACAACTAACGCTCTGCATGTTGGGCAAGTATGTTGTCGCTCCAACCATGACCTAAGACAATGCACATGGAAAAGGTGGCCACAGATGAGCTTCTTTGCTGTGGTCATCTCTTCACGACAAATAATGCAAGTAGCATCATTACTGCATATACATCAAAATTGTTTCAAAAGGCTTAATATAGTGAGATAATCAAAAGATAAAAACAGACATAAAGAGGCAAGCCAAGAAAATAACTCACGCATTAAGTTCTTCAGGTGTTGCATCAGGAAAACGGTCATTCATATTTGAAGTGATTTTCCGATACCGAATATAATCAGCAACACGAATCTTGAAGTTACGAAAGGTCTCATAGAGCTCACGAATCAAATGCAATGGCACACCATAATTCCTAAGATAAAAGCAGCTCCAGAATCAATAAAGGGGCGGAAAGGGATTCAGATAATTCCCTAGCTGACGGTTTAGCTAAACAAGGGGCAGAAAGGGATTCACTTTTTTGGGCTAAGTTGTAACTATAGTGTGTTTTCTTTCTTTTTTCTCTTTTCTTGAGGTTCTTTGTTGCTCTTGGAAGATAAGTGTGTTTGTCTTCCTATTGTAAATCTTCTTTTGATGAGTTAATGAAAGTATTATTGATCAAAAAAAAAAATCAATAAAGGATGATAGGAAATGATTACATAAATAAGAAAACACAATTAAAATGGCAAGAAAATTAATTTAGTAGGAAGTTAGGGCTATAAAGAATTTTTTTTTTTAATTGAAGAGGTAAAGTAAAATTGTATTAATCAAAAAGATATATACAAGTATAACTTCTCACTGTACAGATAAACAAACTTTAAGAACCCTAAAAAAATCACTGCCACACGTGAAGCCAAAACATCCCCCTTGAAAAGCAAATTTGTACTCAGCCACCCTCTAAGATCATCTATAATTAAGTTTATCACCTTTTCTACCTGGAGCTGCTTTTGATAAAAAATCCTCCTGTTTCTCTCCCTCCAAATGGACCACAGAACTGCCAAAGGAATTGTGTTCCACAAGATCCTACCCTTTTTGCTCATACCCCCAACTTTCCAACTTTCAAGAAGGGCCTTTACAGAGCTAGGCATGCAAAAAGAGTACTGAATAATAGCCTTGAAAAAATATGCATACTTTATTTTTTATACTTTATGATATTATAAATATAAACTATAAAATGACTCATACAATAGGATTACCAATCCAACCCAGACACAACCTTAAGTCACTCCAACCCAACCCAACCCCAACTAATTGGCTATATTTGCAGTACAACTATTTTTAGCAATGACTATATTTGCAGTTTTTCATTGTCGCTATGTCATTGTCAATAGATCAGTTTTTCATTGTCGCTATGTATTATGACTGGATCTACATGTGTATACCTCCAAATGGAAAACCAATGTTGAACAAGTTACTTACACAAAAATCAGAAAGAAGAAGCACAGGTACATAGATAAGTGAAGCAAGTCACGGATAAGCTCCAAGTAAAAGGTGTAAACTGCCTTTCTCTCCCATTGTCCTTCCATCAGCATGTCACTAACATAGAAAACATATTTTACAAATGTTGACACTATTGTTGTCGCTAGTATCATGTACCTGAAAAACATTATTTAGGAAAACCAAAATGGTTACTTAAAAAAGTAAACAAAGGAACGCATAGGCAGAAACCCAAGAATAATATTTTGTTTTTTTATTGGTGATACTACTGATGGTACAGAACAATATTTAGTTATAAACCAATTGATAGAAAAGAAAGAAAAAGTATGAAAAATATTTTCTATTCCATAAAGTTCAAGATTAGACTGTTTTTGTATATCTGATCATTTATTATATTACCAGGAAATGCTTTAGAACATTTTGAGGTAGCCAAAAACTTAGGATCAGCCCCTTAAAAGCAAAAATAATAAGGGCAAAATACTAAAATAATTGTGAATTTGGGGCATGTCCAGCTAGCCCATACAAATGCAATAGGAAAAATGTTGCATAGAGATGTCATGGGCCCTAAAAGATCTCTAGAATATTATAATATATAATACACTAGTAAGTGTGCACATGGCAGTTTTTGATGATGATAGTAAATAATATGTTCCAAAAATTTCTGCAATTTTTTTATATTTCTGTGCCTATAAAAATGTTCTTATTTGTCACACTTATTTTTGTTTAATATATGATGAATATACGATATTAGAGATGTGCCCAAATGTTTTCTAAATTTTTTTTTCGTATTTTTAGACTTTTGTGTGCTTTCATCTTTATTAATTTTTATTATTATTAATATTTAATTATGACATCAAGGGTTTACACATCTGACCCAAAAAGGTTGAATTGTTGACTTGCCACCAAACAAGAAAAAACTAAAATTTTTGCGTTGGTTTTAAATTTGTATTTTATTTCTATCATCAATAAAAACAAGTATTTTTTATCACAGTTATTTTTCTTTAATATGGTTAATTAATATAGGATTCAATGAAAGAATGAGAGTTAATACCCTAAGCATAGTTTTCAAGGCGCCAAGGCGATGGATTTTTTTTAGTAAAAACATGTATCTTATGGTAGTTCCCTAGGATCCATAATCATATTTCCTTAATAAATATCCATAATTTTCATAAGAAAAGTATACACTTCATGTTAAAGTATAGAAAATCAACATATTCCAACATATTCGTGAGAAGAAAAAGAAGAAAGAAAAGAAAATTAAAAAAATATATATATAGGGGCTGAACCCCTTATTTCTTTTATAGGAAAAGAAGAAAAGAAAAGGTGGAAGAAGAAGAAGAAGAAGAAGATGAAATTAGTATATAAACACACAAAATTAGTAAAGAAAAATAAGAAAATGTGTTGATTGGACAACATTTTATGTTCTTCCTTGCTTATTAGTTCAGGTTTTGAAGTCTTTGAGGGTTCAATACAGCATTTAGCAATGTTTGTGTTGATTAAGCCCTAACAAATAAGAAAATCATAAAAAGAAATTAGTATATAAACACACAAAATGAATATTTTAGTTTAAAAATGTCTATTTTATATTTATAACCTCAAAAAATTAAGAATATAAAAGTTATTTATAACACGCTACAGAAAACTACTTGGCAATTAGGCGAGGCGAGCCTCCAAGGGCGCCTTGTCGCCTTGACAACTATGACCCTAAGGCTATGTTTGGTTTGAAGGAAAATGTAGGGAAAGGAAGAGAAAGGTAGGGAAAGGAAGAGAAAGGTAGGGAAACCTTTACAACCCTTGTATTGGTTTCCCTGTCTTTCCCTTCCTTTCCCTACCTTTTCCTTCAAACCAAACATAGCCTAAATGAATTGAATGAGGAGAAATGTAGGGATATTCTAGTAAGAATAGGATTCAATGAATGTTAATACCTTAAATATAAAACTTAATGAGGGATTTGAATGTGGAGAAAAGTGGTTGTTCAAATTACATTTTTGTCCTTACAATTAAAGAGAAACCAAATTCAAAAACTGAGGTATTTTGGTCAAACAAAAGTTCCACACTCTCATTCACACTTTTAATAGTAGTATAGATTTAAAGAATTATTTGGACTTGCATAGGTCTGCAACAAGGTCATTAGGATATCTAGGAGTATGGTTTTTATCTTTATTAGAAAATCTGTATCATGATTGATGATGCTTTAGGAAATTAGAATTTGGGTAGAAATTAAGGAGATTTTCTCCTATGATCGATACATTTATTTAAACAATAATGAATCACATCGGGGAGTCTTAGGAAATTTATTTATTTATGGAGTGACTTTGACAGGTACCCAATACATGTGGTCCAATGGTTAGTCACCAATAATTTTAGGAGTCTGGACAGATTTCTATTTGATAGGGGTTGGGAGATGAATCAGAGAACTTGGTTCAAGAATCATTGCAAATGATATTGTCTGACTACAAACCAATTTTACTGAGAGGTATCTTTCAATGATGACCCTAAACCATTCAGGTTTGAAAAGATGTGGCTGGAGCACCCAAAACTTTTACAAATGGTAGAGCAAAACATTGATGAGGTTTTATGAGAAAGGAAGAGTAGATCTCATAGTCATTGAAAATTACAGCTTCTTAAAATGCTAATGTATTTAGGAATGGTGGAAGCCATAAAAAGGAAGTGTTGACAAAAACGAGATTACTGGAGAACATGGAGGAGAAGTGGAAAATGGGTTCATTCCTATAGAAGCATGACTGGAGAAAGAAGACCTCAGAACTGAGTTGGAGAAGATCGTTCATTATGAAGAGGTCTGTTGGAAGCAGAAATCTAGAGTGATTTGGTTGAAAGCTGTAGATAGAAACATGTCCTTTTATCATGCATGCATATGCAAGGGATAAGAAAAAAAAAGATACTATATGATAATTAGGGGTGTAAGCAGATCGAATTCGAATCCGATTAGAAATTCCGATATCCAAATTCGAATCCAATTAGAAATTCCGATATCTGAATCTGAATCCAATTAGAAATTTCGATATTCGAATTCGATTCAATATCCGAATCCGAATCCGATTAAGTATTCAAATATTCGATTTGATTCGAATTCGATTAATTAATTATTTTAGATAATTAATAAAAATTTTATTGATATAAAAATATAAAAATTATTTATATAACTTAATTATTATATATAAATTATATAAACTATTTTATATATTATATATAAGAATTAAGTAATCGGTCGAATTTGGATATTTATTGAACCGAATCAGGTCATATCCGAATTCGAATCCAACTAACTATTCGGTAAGAATAGGATATCCGAATTCGACCGATTAGATATTTGAATTATTCGAATTCGATTCAGTTACGTCGAATATCGAATTCGCAATCTGATTTTCGAATACCATTGACACCCCTAATGATAAGGCTGAAGGTGGGAAAGATCCTAGTAGACGACCTAAGGGAGATCAAAGAAGCTCTAAGCACTTTTTTACTGAAAACTGTTCACAAAATCAGCTTCTTGTCTGGATAATGATTCATGGGGACTTGGAGTTGGATAAATTGGAGGATGAAAGGCAAGGTTGTTACAAGAGGTTTTGAGGAAGAAGAGATTTGGGGAAGGTGCTTGGGTTTAAAGACAAACTTAAGAGAGGTTGGCAAGAGAATTGGGAACAACTTTTAGATGGTCAAGAGATCTGCAACTAGGTTGGATGATTCACTAGCCAATAAGGGGTTCATAGCATGGTTTTAAATATCGCGAAATGTTGCTAATATAAATTATTCCATTAATAATTTCTATGTAATATTTCAAATAAAATATTTATAAAAAAGAATTAACAAAATATAAAAACAAAAGAATAAATTAATTACTTTATAATATAAAAATAAAATATTTTTCAAGTAATAAAATATTAACTAGTTAGTATTTTTTAAAATATTTATTAAAATCAGAAAATGTT